GCTAGCAAGGCCTCCAGCATTTCTCCAATGAAAATGGCGACATCCTACCACAGGGACGCAGGGACGCGGGTGGCGCTGTGGGTTAAAGCCTCAGCGCCTAGGACTTGCCGATCGCATGGTCGGCGGTTTGAATCCCCGCGGCGGGGTGCGCTCCCGTTGCTCTGTCCCAGTGCCTGCCAACCTAGCAGTTCGAAAGCACCCTCGGGTGCAACTAGATAAATAGGGACCGCTTACTAGCGGGAAGGTAAACGGCATTCCGTGTGCTGCGCTGGCTCGCCAGATGCAGCTTGTCACGCTGGCCACGTGACCCGGAAGTGTCTGCGGACAGCGATGGCTCCCAGCCTATAGAGTGAGATGAGTGCACAACCCTAGAGTCTGGCAAGACTGGCCCGTACGGGCAGGGGTACCTTTACCTTTACTTTACCACAGGGACGCTGTGGGTTAAAGCACAGAGCCTAGGACTTGCTGATCAGAAGGTCGGCGGTTCGAATCCCCGTGACGGGGTGAGCTCCCGTTTCTCGGTCCCTGCTCCTGCCAACCTAGCAGTTCGAAAGCACGTCAAAGTGCAAGTAGATAAATAGGTACTGCTCCGGCGGGAAGGTAAACGGCGTTTCCGTGTGCTGCTCTGGTTCACCAGAAGCGGCTTAGTCATGCTGGCCACATGACCCGGAAGCTGTCTGCGGACAAACACCGGCTCCCTCGGCCCATAGAGCGAGATGAGCGCCGCAACCCCAGAGTCAGTCACGACTGGACCTAATGGTCAGGGGTACCTTTACCTTTACCACACCCTCCAATATTTCTTCGATGAAAATAGGAACGTCCTAAAGAAATGTGGAACATTCCAGGATCAAATCAGAAACTGGGATGGCTTCTATAAATCCGGGACTGGCCCTGGAAAATAGGGAAACTTGGAGGGTCTGATTCTCTTTCTCAGTTTGCATTGAAGTTGGTTTGAGAGAAATTAGATGTCAGGCGGCAAAGGATCCAACCCCACAGCAGGTTGCCAGGAACAGATAAGACAAGGAAAAGTCTTTACCAACTGTTTTTATTCAATATTCACAGAGAGAGGCTTGGAAATTAAGCCTCTTGGAACAATGGCTTTGCCCCGAATGAGTCTCCACCCCTCCCTCTCTCTTGCACCATCGCTCTGGTTGCTGCTACGTGCCCTCTGCCTTTGAGCTCTTTACTCTCCTATTTTCAATGCTTATCAGGTTCTGGGAGACGGGTGGTCTGGAATGCTTTCTAAAGACACTGTGTTTGTCATCTGTCCCTCTAATGCTTATTCTTCCTCCTCCTCCTCCTCTCCCATTATTTCCCAGCTTTCCCCCTCATCTGCCTCTGAACTGTGATCTCCCTCAAACCCCTGTTGTAATTCCGAACTGTCTTCTTCTTCTTTGGAAGGGTCAGGCTGGGGAGGCGGTCTCCACCATTCCTCCTCTGCCCAGTCCCTGATCCTCCCGGTCACATGCATAAAGCATTGTGTAAGCCAGGAAACTGATGTATAGGCCCTAGCATGCACACAGCTGATTTGTCATAATTTACATAATTTTTAATGGGGAAATTAAAAATTGGGCCGCCTTGCGTATTAATGCAGTCCCCAGCTGATGAGTGTAAACCTGTTCTAAGATGCAACTTAAAATTCATGAGATGTTCCTGGCACACCCTGTCGCAAAAGTAACCTTGGTACCTCTGGCCTTTGGGGCTTTTACAGGTGAAGCATTTTTAGCTCAAAACATGCCCCAGAAACAAACTTCCCTTGCCTTTTACAGAAGCGTCACACGGTCATGCTTACTCCAGTGGTGAGAAATTCTATGGCCGTGGCACTTGCCTGAGTTGGGTTTCCTTTGGAAAGAAGTTAGTGGAGACTTGTGGTGTTTTGTTATGTTTACATTTATTTACAAATGTACAGGCCGAGCCTAGGTGGAGACACAGTTTAACACTCACAGCAGGCAGACTAAACCACTGCCCCACACCAGATCCCCAGAGTGAGGCAGCTCCCCTCACTACAAAAAGGCACTTCCTGGAGCTTCCCCTCTCTCTGATTCTCTCTTAAAACCTCTCGCTGCAGTCTGCTTCTCAAAATGTTTCTACGGTGGTACCTCGGGTTAAGTACTTAATTCATTCCGGAGGTCCGTTCTTAACCTGAAACTGTTCTTAACCTGAAGCACCACTTTAGCTAATGGGGCCTCCCGCTGCCACCGTGCCGCCGCCACACAATTTCTGTTCTCATCCTGAAGCAAAGTTCTTAACCCGAGGTACTATTTCTGGGTTAGTGGAGTCTGTAACCTGAAGTGTCTGTAACCTGAAGCGTCTGTAACCTGAGGTACCACTGTATTGATTTCCACCCTAGTTTGCCCCTTCTCTCTAGCTGGAGGCAGTGGGGAAGAATAAGGGTGAATCATCTTCCCCACCAGTCTCCTAGCCTTTTAGGATTACATTTCAAAGAATCATAGAACTGTGGAGTTGGAAAGGACTCCAAGGGCCATCTTGTCCAATCCCCTGCAGTGCAGGAAACTCAATTAGATCATGACAATTGGCCACCCAACCTCTGCTTAAAAACCTCCAAGGAAGGAGGGTCCATAACCTCTAGAGGGAGTCTGTTTCACTGTTGAACAGCTTACTGTCAGAAGGTTCCTCCTGATGTTTAATCGGAATTTCCTTTCTTGTAACTTCAAGCCTTTGGTTCAAGGCCTACCCTCCAGACTCGAACCCTCCAGAAGATGAAACTTGCTCCATCTTCAATGTGACAGCCCTTTAGATATTTGAAGGTGGCTATCATATTTCCTCTCAGTTTGTGGTGCCCAGAACTGGACACAGAATTCCAGGTGTGGAAGGCAGAGTGGAGTGGCAGACCACACCTGTGTCCTGTTCTGGCCACCAGAACAATTTCCCCGGCAGATGATATGTCTGGAAGCTTTGCCATTCCTGTTACGCAACGTCTGCAGTCTTTTTTACCCTATTAACTTTCTGCGATCCAAACTTCTGAAACTCACAATATAGTCACAACCCTAGATGTACCTTGGCTTGTACCCAATAGTGTGGGAACATAGGAAGCAGACTTATACTGGTTTGGTTCACACAACACACTAAGCCATAGTTTATCAGGCATTTCCAGCTCCTCTGCAAAGCAAGAACTTCAGCTGGGATGCTTAAAAGGGGGAGTACTGACCATCAGCAGTGTTACTTCACCTGTTCCTCATTCGGTAAGTTACTTCCAAGTAAAGATACTGAGAAATAAGCTCTTTGGGGCAGGGTGGGATGGAGCTTACAAATTGCTGACCCAGTATAATGTTACAAAACATGATGGCATGCTCCCATTGCAGGGGTGTTTATGCCATGAATCATAGGGGAAGAAGTTGAAGTATGGTGTTACTGTGCAGGGAGTAGGTAAAGGCGGATGATTCAATCAAACAAAGCCAGGACCTGACCGATTAACATAGCAAAGTATTTCATTCACCTAGAATAATGGCACGTTTTGAGTTAGAAGGGGCCTTGGAGCTCCGCCAATCCAAAGTCCTACTCGGTGTAGGAATTTTTGTGCATGTCTGAGAGGTTGCTTCTGCTGAAATAGCGCCACTGAAGGAGAGGCCATCTGTTCCTCTGTGAAACAGGTTGTCCTGTCAGCAGGTTTCCTCTATTGTTAAACCGGAATATGTTTCTTTGAAATGCCCTCCCATTCATTCTGGAGCGACTGAGAACAAGTTTGCTCCATCTTCCATGTCAGTGATTCACATACTGTAGACAGGGGACCAAAGTGGGTCTCAGGGTTGTTTCAGGTGGGCTGTCTGCAGCTGTCTCCCACCAACCTCTCCTGGGAACCCAGATGGGTCTCATTTGGCTTTCTCCTCTCTTGCTGCCACCGCTGTACCAGGAAGAGGAGGGTGGAGCGAGCAGAAAGGAAAGAGGAGACTGAGGCAGAAGTGGAGGAAGTGAGCAGCCTGAGCTATGCTATCTTCAAGCATCCCAACTGACTATGGCATTTTATGATTGGCTCTGGCCCCCTCGTCCGCCATTTTGTGACTGATAGGCCTCTCAAGTGGGCCCCAGGGGTAGAAAATGTGAGAGCCCCTGTTCTGTGTGACAGCCTTTTGGACTTTTGAAGACAGCAGTCATCCTGTCTTCCCTTAATCTTATCCAGGCTAAACATATGTCGCTGTTTCACAAGACCAGCTTTCTTCACCATTGAGGTTGCCCTGCTCTGGACACACTTTGTGAAATCCAACTTCAAATATGGCACCCAAACTGGGCACTAGTTTATTACATAAGCTGCCTTGGCAGAAAGGGTATAGACATAAAATAAAAAGATGATAATTAATATTCAGTTTCATGTAATAAAAATAATAATAAGAAGAAGAGTTTGGATTTGATATCCTGCCTTTCACTCCCTTTAAGGAGTCTCAAAGCGGCTAACAACCTCCTTTCCCTTCCTCCCCCACAACAAACACTCTGTGAGGTGAGTGGGGCTGAGTGACTTCAAAGAAGTGTGACTGGCCCAAGGTCACCCAGCAGCTGCATGTGGAGGAGCGGAGACGCGAACCCGGTTCCCCAGATTACAAGACTACCACTCTTAACCACTACACCACACTGGCTCCCAAATAGATGAACATCGTGGCTTAGGCTGCAGTATTACAAGTCATGGGCTTCCTGAGGAATATTAGTTGACCCTCTCAACCCCATATAGTTTGGTTACCAATCTTTATTGTGGAAGTTGTACTGGTTTTATTTGCATTTGAATTGTAATTAGCTTATGTGTATTTGGTTTTTTAAATAAATAAAAAAAGGTTTCTGCGTTTTAGCTGTGTTTTTACCTGGTATACACATGTTTAGCTACAGTGTGCTTTTTATTATTTTGTAAGTCACTTTGGGACCTAGGTGTGGTTGAAAAGCAGGGTATAATTTATTCAGAATTATAGCAGTAAATATTGTGTGTGTGTGTGTGCCTCCTCTCAAAACCTCTAGAGTTCTCATTAAACATTTGTTTGTTCACTTGTTTCTCTTAGGTGTGGCACCTGAGCGCTGTTAAGACGGCTATGGCTATTAAACGCAAGTTCAGCACTCTCTCCTGGTACTACTGGCAATACCAGCTGATCACGATGGCTTATCTCATGGATCCTTTCGAATGGTGGATCTTCCACAGTTTGCTGCTTGTTTGCATTATGGGGTCGGCCTACGTTTTTTATGCCGTTGTTCCTCCTCAGATCCGCTTGGTTCTGAAGCTCGTTTATCATGTGTTTGGCTTGCAACCAGAAAGCACCATTCCAGCCATGATGTGAACTTACAATGCACAATAGTGACTGTCCCCCCCCCTTTTAAGCCATGTGCTTACAGAGACATTCTGGGATTTATAAAAGCAACATTATTATTATTATTATTATTATTATTATTATTATTATTATTGCAAAGAAGCCTCAGGGAAGTCACAATAGTTGCATCCTTATTCACCTTATATCACCTATAGAGTCTCTGCATGTATCAAGCAGGTTGGTGGGTGAAATGTCATGTAATATTTTATTTTTTTAACTTATCCAGAGAGGTTTGCTCCTGGGATTTTCTTCAGCTGTAATTGCTTCCCTTCATGTTCATTGTTTCTTACCAGAATTAAATCTCGCGACGTGCTTGTTTTCATTCAAATTTTATTCCAATTCATTATGTACCACTATTCTGTGAGAAACTATAAAATGTGAATAAAACACGGAAAATAGATAGGACAATGTCTGTACTGTGCCTGAATGTTGTGCTATTTTATGGACACGATCCAGGTTTAGGTTGTAATCCTGTACACACTTGCTTGGAATTAGCCTCATTGAATCAGTGGAACTTACTTTGGAGGAGTAAACTTGTAGTAAAGAAGTGAGCTGTCAGAGCTGTCCTTCCTTGCTGGCTTTCCTCTGTGCCTATCCATCTCAAATGCATTCAGCGCGTTCGACAGAGATCCAACCAACAGTGCCAGTGTTGATCTGCAAATGTGGAACTCACTGCCTGGATTTGGGTGTATAATATCAGGCCCAATATTTTCCAGGTTATCAATAAGCCCTGCTGGATCAAAATGGTCCATCTAGTCCCACATCCTCCTTCCCAAATATGGCTTTGGGAGACCCACAAGCTGGGTATGAATGCCAGTGAATGGCATTCAGTGGCATGTGGCCTCTGAACATGGACAGTCTATAGCAGGAGTGGGGAATCACTGGTCCACGGGCCAAATGTGGCCTGCCAGGCCTCCTCACTTGGACCACGAGACATCAGGTTGTGGGTGGGTAAGGACGGCTTCAGAGGAACAATCGGAAGCATAAAATGAGCTCCCAGTGAATCGTCTCTTTGCTAGAGCAAAGCACCCTCCCACCCGTTCATCAGCTGACAGATGGGTGGGAGTGTGTCTCGCTCAAGGAGGGGGAAGTGGTCCCCATTCAATGGAATCTGCTTCTCTTCCAGCACTGCTCTTGAAAGGAGCTTCACACTGCTTCTTTAAACCTCCTCAGACCTGCTCAAAAGCCCTCCGCAAGCTGATTTGCAGAGGAGCAGCACAAAGCTGTTTGCAAAGGCCATAGTGAAGCCAGGTGACGGATAGGTGGGTGGCCCCACTCACCTGTTAAATTAGGCCCACCAAGGATGGGGCAAAACAATCTAGCCTGCAGGTCAGAAAAAGTCACCCACTCCTGGTTTATAGGCCTCAATAAACTTGTCTGCCATAAATTCACCGAACCCAGCTTGTCAAGCCATTAGATTGGAGAACTGGGCCCAAGCCAACAAATTTAATTTCATGAGGGACAAATGTAACTTAGGCAGGAAGAAACAGATGCACAAATATAGGATGGGGGGGGGGGCACCTGGCTTACTGGTGCGTCCGCTCTTAAAGAAAACATCATTAGATCCCTTAGATCTATCCAATTACCGCCCGGTCTCGAATCTTCCATTCCTGGGTAAGGTGATTGAGAGAGCGGTTGCTGAACAGCTTGGTAGGTTTCTGGATGAAACATCTGCTCTGGATCCATTCCAGTCCGGCTTCCGCGCTGGTCATGGGACCGAGACGGCTCTGGTCGCCCTAACAGATGATCTCCGCAGGCAGCTGGATCGAGGTGGGTCGGGGCTGCTGATTCTTCTAGATCTGTCAGCAGCCTTTGACATGGTCAATCATGAACTCCTGGACCACCGCCTTGCCGACGTGGGGATCCAGGGCACAGTCCTTCAATGGCTACGCTCGTTTCTCTCTGGTCGGGGACAGAGGGTGGCGCTTGGGGGGAATTGTCATCGCGCCACTCCTTGGTGTGTGGAGTGCCTCAGGGTGCGATTCTCTCCCCGATGCTTTTTAACATCTTTATGCGCCCCCTCGCCCAGCTTGTCCGGAGTTTTGGGCTGGGTTGCCATCAGTATGCTGATGACACCCAACTCTATCTGTTGATGGATGGCCATCCTGACTCGGCCCCAGACACACTGACCAGATGTCTGGAAGCTGTGGCTGGATGGTTACGTGGGAGCCGGTTGAAGTTAAATCCTGCGAAGACAGAGGTCCTCTGGCTGGGGCGGGACGATATGGGATCGAGGGGGCAACTCCCATCTCTTGCGGGGGTGCAATTGGTGCCAGCACCGTCCGTTAAGAGTCTGGGTGTAATCTTCGATACCTCCCTCTCTATGGAGGCGCAGATTACAGCTATAACAAAGGCGGCATTTTTTCATCTCCGCCAAGCTAAGCAGTTGGCCCCTTATCTCTCTCGCCCTGACCTAGCCACTGTGATCCATGCGACGGTCACCTCCAGACTGGATTATTGTAACTCGCTCTACGTGGGGCTGCCCTTGAGACTGACCCAGAAACTCCAGCGGGTACAGAATGCCGCAGCGAGACTCCTTACGGGGTCCTCGCTGCGAGATCACATTCACCCGGTGCTATACCACCTGCACTGGCTCCCGGTGGAGTATAGGATCAGGTTTAAGGTGCTGGTTTTAACCTTTAAAGCCCTATACGGCCTAGGACCCTCGTACCTACGGGACCGCCTCTCCTGGTATACCCCACAGAGAAACCTACGGTCTGTAAATAAAAACATCCTCAAGGTCCCAGGCCTCAGAGAGGTTAGGCTGGCCTCAACTAGAGCCAGGGCCTTCTCGGCTGCGGCTCCAATCTGGTGGAATGCTCTGTCACAAGAGACTAGGGCCCTGCGGGACCTGACATCTTTCCGCAGGGCCTGCAAGACAGAGTTGTTCCACCAGGCCTTTGGTCAGGGCGCAGCCTGACTCCCTCCTCTGGCAACCTGCACAGTATTTTGGTTGCCATCAATTTGATTTTAATTAATTTTTATAATGAAATATTTTAGAATGTGTGATTATTCAACTATTTGGTTATTTGATTGTTGTTAGCCGCCCTGAGCCCAGCTTCGGCTGGGGAGGGCGGGATATAAATAAAATTTATTATTATTATTATTATTATTACATGTGAAAGGGGTCTAGTAGTCTTAGTGGACCACAAGCTGAACATGTGTCAACAATGTTATGCAGCAGCAAAAAAAGCTAGTGCTATTCTAGGCTGCATCAACAGAAGTATAGCGTCCAGGTCAAGGGAAGTAATAGTACCACTCTGTTCTGCCATAGTCAGACCACACCTGGAATACTGTGTCCAATTCTGGGCACCACAATTTAAGAAGGATGTTGACAAGCTGGAACGTGTGCAGAGGAGGGTAACCAAGATGATCAAGGGTCTGGAAACCAAGCCTTATGAGGAGCGCTTGAAAGAGCTGAGTATGTTTAGTCTGGAAAAGAGGAGACCGAGAGGAGATACGATAGCCATTTTAAATATCTTAAGGGGTGACACATGGAAGAGGAAGCATGCTTGTTTTCTCCTGATCTGGAGGGTAGGACTCAAACCAATGGCTTCAAGTTGCAAGAAAGGAGATTCCGACGAAACATTTGGAAAAACTTTCTGACAGTAAGAGCTGTTCAGCAGTGGAACAGACTCTGAGAGGTGGGAGAAGACTCTCCTTCCTTGGACATTTTTAAACAGAGGTTGGGTGGCCATCTGTCATGGATGCTTTAGCTGAGATTCCTGCATTGCAGGGGGTTGGACTAAATGACCCTTGGGGTCCCTTCCAGCTCTTAAGATTCTCTGATTCTGTGATTCTACATAGACAAAGTTGTTGCTTAAATTCTCACATCTTACTAATTGCTACTTCTTGGGCACATAGACAAAGATGTTGCTTAAATTCTTACATCTTACCATAAATAAATTAAGCAACCACATGTCCCAGCATTTCATGGAACTTTGGTGTTGCAATCCAACCTACAGAGGTTGAAACAAATCGAATCTGATTTCTGTGGGATTGTCAGCCACACTGCACACCCAAAGACTGATGTAAGATGTGCAACAATTCCATGCACTAACTCCTAATGCATCTCAGGAACTAGCAGAGATTTACTGGTTCAGGTTCTCTAAATTTTGATTCCATTCAGTCCTCATCCTTGCCATCTTGATTTAAGCACTTTTCAGTATACACAGTTCTGTCTGAGGACAGCTCTATGCTTTATATGTCAGACACAACCACTGTGTGAGCACTGCGTGTTTCTCTGATGTTTCTTTCAGCAAGTATGTTAAGTCGGGGGTTTTTAGTTCAGAAAAATAGACCACCTCTTCCCATACAAACCATCCTGGACTCATCCTGTGGCCCTTCTTCATGTGCCTCCTCCACATGAGGTCCAGAGGGTGGCAACACAAGAAAGAGATTTTTCTGTAGTGGCTCCCTGTTTGTGGAATGCTCTCCCCAGGGAGGCTCACCTGGTGCCTTCGTTATATCTTTTTAGGCAGCAGGTGAAAATGTTCCTCTTCCACCATGCCTTCAGCTGATTAATATTCTACAGCGTCTTAAATGTGTTTGTGGGAAGGGTCTCCCAGGTCCTAGTCCGACATTCTGACCACTATACCGCACCAGATCTCAAGCTGATTTCACCCAGGTGACTTGGACTATGGCCAATGGTCAGGGGTGGTGGGTGGGTACCAGGTTGCAGAAACCTCCATAATGTGCAGGGCTCCCATGACAAGTGCACAGGAGTTCTTCAGCAGAAAACTCAGTGTGGAATGTGGTCCATGAAGTCAGAAAGATCAGAAACCACTGTCATACTGGATCTGTTCCTGCACCCATAGCAAACAACTCGTGGTAGAACACAACGCCTAAGATCTTGTTTTTCTGCAAATCATATCAGGAAAAGGAAATCACCCAAGGTGTGGCTGGAAATTCTGTGGACATCTATCGACGGAAGGCATAACCATCTATTGTAAGTGGAATGCGATTTGATGGGAGCCTAGAGGTTGGGTTTAGCGTTTGATCGTTCTCTTCACTTAAGAAAAACTTAAGGTTGTCAGGGAGCTTCCTCAAGCCTGAATGCCAAAAAGAAAAACCCATATTCTCTAGGATGGGGTAGCACAGATAACCAAGCACAAGATTGGCAGGGCAGGCATTTCTCTCCAAAGGCCTGTCGAGGCATGAGGGGAACAGGCCTGGCAAGGGAAGCAGCCAGATAATACCAGAATGCAGATGAAGTTGAATCAACATGTTGCTCAAAGGGGTGTGTCTGAAATTATGCATAAGTTGTCCCAGTGTTCTGACTCTTTGAATTACCATTTATAGAAGATAACTCCATGCATTTTAAAGCTGAGTGACAGGGAGAGATCAATGGATAAAGGCTTTTCCGTCACAGCATCTCCATACACCTGCTTGGA